GGAAAAAAATCCACACGGGGGAAAAAGATTCACAATAAAGATAATTTGGAATACCCAGTTCCATTATTGCTGATTCATCATCAAGTATTAAAAATCAATCAAAAGAAGCTCAATATTTAAAAGAAATTGATATTTTCATTTGGATGAAGCACCAATGGCACCACGATATGCTTTAGAAATAATGGATCGAACATTGCGTGATATTATGAATAATGTATTCCTTTCGGTGGAAAAATTGTTTTATGTGGTGTGATTTTAGACAACTTTTTGCCTATTAAAGTACATGCTACTCGAAGTGAAATTGTAAATCTTTCTATTAAGTGTAGTTCTCTTTGGAAGTATTTCGTAAAATTCTCTTTAATACAAAATATGCGAGTTCTTCCAGAAGAAATTGAATTTGTAAAGTTTTTATTGAATGTTGGAGATGGTATATTAAATGATCTTAATGATAATATACAAATTCCTGAATGTATATAGCGTCTATTAATGCTGATATTGTGGAAGATATATATGGTGATTAATAAGAAAAAAGAGTTTGTTAAAATGTCTAAATGTGCCATACTTTCTGGAAGAAATGTTGATGTAGATGAAATTAATAAGAAAGTTGTGGAATATTAGATATAAATGATGAACGAATTTATACAAGTGTAGACACTGCTGTAAATAATGACAATGGTGACATGAGTGAAACATTGTTACCAGAAATTTAAATAGTTTATCTCCATCATCTCTTCCTTCTCATGAATTACGTTTAAGACCAAATAGTATTATTATGTTAATTAGAAATTTAAGTATCAATGAAGATTTGTGTAATGGCACTAGATTAATGATTATAGAGTTACAGATCATTTATTAAAATGTAAGATTTTAACAGGTGACAAAACAGGAGACATTGTTTTTTTGAATCGTATAACGTTATATTGCGAAATGTATTTCCTTTTACTTTTTCTAGAAGACAATTTCCAATAAAATTAGCTTTTGCCATGACGATTAATAAATCACAAAGGACAGACGTTTGATAGAATTGGATTAGATCTTCGCAAAGATGTTTTTAATCATGGACAACTTTATGTTGCTTTTTCGCGAGTTCGTTCTTGGCAAGCGTTAAAAGTTTATCTTGGTAATCAACGAAATAACAAATTTGTTAAAAATTATGTATATAAAGAAATTATATTTAATTTTTTGTTTTTTAAATGTGAAAAAAACAATTTTGTTAAAATAACAATAATAATAATAATAATTATTCAGCGAATATATAAAAATTTTTTACAAATATAAATTTTAATAATAGAAATTTTACATTTTATATAAAAGTTTATTTTAATATTGGAAAATTTTATATTTTATATAAATTTGCTTATAAGAAATAAATATAATACACATATAAATAAATATAATACATAATCAACATTTGCTTAGTCAATTTTTTATATGTAATAATTTGTATAAAATTATAATATAAGATGTATAAAACAAAATATGATATATTAGAAACTTATAATAATAAGAACTTATTATATAATATATCAAAGGATAATTGAAATTGTGTAGTCGACCAAACTAGCCAGAAATATAGTTTATTAATATGAAATATATTATAATTTGACCATATGATTGTGGTCCTTATATAATATATAATACTTATTATAATATATAAAAGAAAGTTATTTAATAATATATTTATATAATATATACGAAAAAGTTATATAAAACAAGTTAAAATAACAATAATTATGAGTTGGACGTGGAAGTTGAATTTCTCTTATTCTGATCCTGTGAAAAAAATATATAAATTAATTATACATATATATATATATATATATATATATATATATATATATATACACAGAGTGTCCCAAAACTCATAATCAATCTTTCAAAGACAGATTCCTGAGATTTGGAGACGATTTTTCCTCAATGAAAATGTCGATATGAAGGCCATTATTTTTTGCATGTTTCCACTTTTTGTCATCATATATCTTTACAATTAAGTTTTAAATTAAAACTCAATTGAAGTAAACTCTATTTAAAATTAATCGAAGAATGTGGTTTAATTAATATTTTATTTCTACAAAGCTTAGTTTACGAAAAAACCCTTATTTCCAATCACTTATAATTCGAAAATTATTAGTGCTTCGACATTTTCGTTGAGGACAAATCGTCTCCAAATGATCCCAGGAATCTGTCTTTGAAAGATTGATTATGAGTTTTGGGACACCCTGTATATGTATGTGTGTGTATGTGTACTATATAATAATAATTATATGATTATATAATAATTATATATAAGTATCAAAATGATGAATATTATTAATTGTAAAAGTAAAAAATTAGAGTGAAACTTTAAGAGTTTTACTAATCTCTTCAACAAGTTTTATTAAAAACTAATAGTTTTAATATTAATTATAATAATTATACCTGATTAGTATTAATTATACCTGAAAGTACATCATCTATTTTTCTTTTCAAATTTTTAGTTCCATTTATTAAAGTTAAGAGTGGCATGTGCCCTGCGATTTTTTTTATATTTTCTGTATTGTTGACAACTAAATATGATGGAATAACTAAAAATTATAAAAATATTAATAAATAAATATAAACAATATAAATAAATATATAAATATAAATATATACATAAATATAAATATATATATATATATATATATATATATATATATGAAAATATTTTTAATAAATTATTTAAATGAAAATATTTTTAATAAGTAATTACAATTTTGTAATATTATATATATATATTGTATATATATATATATATATATATATATATATATATATATGGGGCATTCCACGCCAAATCGGACGGTTTAAAAAATTTTTGTTTTTGATTTTCTTAATTTTTAGGTATTTTTTAGTACCCCTCAAAAGAGGCTTCCTGGTAACTTTTGAGATTTTTTTGATTTTTTTTCGATTTTTAAAAATTAAAAATTTTGAATAGTTAATTACGTATTATATTTATTTTTTATAAGTGAAAATTTATAACTTTTATAAGTAAAAATTTTATATTTTAAAGGTTTGAAAATTAAAAATTTCATTTTTTTAAATTAAAGATCTTAAAATGGCTTTTATTCTTTATATAAATTAATTTTAATAGTATTTAAACAATTATAAGAATAAAATAAGTAAAAATTAAATAGTTTAGTTTATTACCTGTAGTTTGCATGATACCAATAATTTCTACATGATCACCTTTTCTAATATCAAGTAAAGTATAATCATCGTTACTAAAATTTATTACATGAATTTCCAGTTTGAATGTGCCATCAGTTATTGCACCACATCCAATAATTTTGTTCATGTTGTTGTTATATACTTCAGCAAAATTCGTCTTTACGTATCCTCTCAATACTAGAAATATTTGACGAATATATATTAACAAAAATAATAATAATTCCCAGACAGCACAGGACATTCTACGGACATTCATTTTATGTCCATTTTACGTCTGCACGTCCATGGACATAAAATAAACGTCCATTGTACATCCGATTTAAGACATCTGTTAGTAGTCAATATTTGGACGTCCACAAGATGTCCGGTCTTGGAGGTCAAAGTTTCTCGCGAGCACGCAAGCATGTATTAGTTCGTTCGTTTACCGCTACGTGACGTGTGATGCACTATCTTTCTCGTATTTAAGTTTTAGTTATGAGAATTATATAAAGTTTGCAAAAGGTAACAAATAAAATTAAAAATGTATTGTTCAATTTAATTTCTGACCTAAAAGCACGGGTTTCGGATATTAAATTGATTTTATAAGTCGGGCAAGTAAATGTCCTGCAAATAAACGAAAATAATTGTTCATTATTTATTTAAGATGTAAAGTGCAATATGCAAGTATAAATTATAAATAAATTTTTTATATAAAATTTTTATGTAAAATTTTATATAAAATAAATTATATTATTATTTAGGGATTGAAATATATATGTTTCGTTTAAAAATTATATGTTTAGATCATAAAGATTGTTCTTTTTTCACACATATAATATACATTTTTTTTTTAATTATCTGTTTTATAATAGTTTTGTGCAAAAAAAGTAACATTTAAATAATATGTGATATTGCATTAATGTATATGTGATATAAATTTTCTTTAATAAATGTATTGCTTAAAAAAATATATATTTTATCTTTTTAATGTGTAAATTCAAATTTTGTATGTAATCCCTTTTTCATCTCTTTATTATGTCCATATAAAATCCGTTTTGTATATTTGTTATTGCTAATTTATGTCCAATAATCGTCCATCGGATGTCTTTTGGACACATCAGGGTTTAAATTATGTCCTCCAATTTCATATTCGGATATGCTAAGGATATCCACTGTATATTTGAGGAACATAAAACGGACATTTTATGGATATTTTCAATATCCTTCAAGGATATTTGTAGAATATTTTATGAATATCTGTGTGCTGTCTGGGTTATATATAAAATATATTGTTCTATTTTAAATAAATATAAGAAAATTCTAAAAGATATAAATAATATTTTATATTATATTATCAATAATCCTGTTATTATTTTTTAATAAAATTTTTGATTTTATATATATATACGCCTATATTATATATAGAGTGTCCGAAAAACTGCCCGCAATACTTCGAGAAGTGATTCGGGACCGGAAAAAAAGATAAAAAGCTATATAAATATAAGTCCTGAAAAATAACTCATTTCTTAATTATAATAGTCATCTTTATATTAAAAACATTGTAATTTAATTTTTATAATTATAATAATCATAATTATAGTTTATTTCATAGTATTTTAATATAAATAACTTTATTGTGTGTGTAAGTATGAATATGTATGTGTATGTGCAGTGTATCCAATAATAACTACATTATCTCTCTTGTATACAGGGTGAGGCATCTAAAACAGGCCACCTGAATAACTCCGTTGGTAAGCCGAATATAAAAAAATTGTTCAGACAAAAGTTGTATGGTTTCAAGGGGGACATATGATGGTGTCATTAGTTTAATCTTGAAGAGCCACCCGAAGGTCACGTGAAGGTCAGCTCCAACTTTTTAAATGGGACACCTTATATGCTTTTGCATATTCTTGTAGCTCATCTCAAGAGCTTTCCAAAACACTACAATTATGTCAGTTTTCAGTTTAAATACTTTCCAAGTTATGAGGCTTGAAATCATTTTTTAATTTTACATAAACCGTAAAATATCTTGTAAAATATTCATTTTTCGATTATTTTACCTTAATACTTTTATGTACAAAATAATGAGAAGAATCAATTGATGTAAAGAAAACACATAATTGCTTCGAACAAAAAAATGTAATTGTTAATTGCAAATTACATTTTTTTGTTCGAAGCAATTATGTGTTTTCTTTACACCAATTGATTCTTCTCATTATTTTGTACATAAAAGTATTAAGGTAAAATAATCGAAAAATGAATATTTTACAAGATATTTTACGGTTTATGTAAAATTAAAAAATGATTTCAAGCCTCATAACTTGGAAAGTATTTAATGAAAATTAACATAATTGTAGTGTTTTGGAAAGCTCTTGAGATGAGCTACAAAAATATGCAAAAGCATATAAGGTGTCCCATTTAAAAAGTTGGAGCTGACCTTCACGTGACCTTCGGGTGGCTCTTCAAGATTAAACTAATGACACCATCATATGTCCCCCTTGAAACCATACAACTTTTGTCTGAACAATTTTTTTGTATTCGGCTTACCAACGGAGTTATTCAGGTGGCCTGTTTTAGATGCCTCACCCTGTATAAAAGAAGTTAAACAGAAAAAAGAAGAATTTTTTATCATTTTATGATTCTTACAACAATTAATGAGAAATTAATTAAGAAAAATTCACCAATTTACGTAAGTATTAGTTCGTGATGAGAAAAGACAGTCCATTATTACTATATAACCGTTGTCATTTATAGAGCGTTTCTTTTAAAATTTTAACAAATGTTTCGTATAATTGTCTTAAATAATAATAGAACATATTATCTATGTTTTAAATCTTTTAATAATTTAAAATCAAATTTGCATGGATCACTTAATATCTGAATCATTTATAACAAATAAATTTTTTTCTGATATCATCTAAATATCAATCATTTTCATTTATTTAATTTTTTAAAACTATATTTTTTAAATAGATTTCAATTATTCAAAATTTAAAAACAACCAAATAATTGAAGTTTATGGAAGAATAAGTAGAATAATTAGTTTAAAAAATAATTTTAAACAATTTAAAATTTGAATGTTTGATATGTAAACGATTGATATAAAAAAAATATTTATTTATTATACTATATTTATTTCAAATTCTAATAACGTATTAATTAAAAAAAGGTATATGGATTAAAAAATTATATGAAAAATATTTATATATTTTTATATTTATATTATAATATTATATTAATAAAAAAAAGAAATTATATAAAGAATACTCACTAATGCGATTTTTTGTAGCATTTAATACATCAGATAATTCAATTGTCTTAGGTGTGGTATCTACTATTTCCATTGGTTCAAATTTTCCAAGATTTGAAATTATTGTATTTGATTTTATTAATAGCTCATACGGCATATTACCATTGTTGAATTGAGGTATTTTTGGCGGACGTGCCTGAGTACCATCCAAATGAATAATCTATTTTATGAAATGTATTTTAATATTAAAAATATAATTATACATATATTTTACATAAATTTTTAAAGAATTACAAGTTATAAATTAAATATTTTATATTTTAATAAAATAATAATATTTAATAAAATAATATAATAATGTGTATAATTATATTAATATAAATATCGAAATTAAAAGATTATGAAAAGAATGATAGATAAAATACACACATTATATTTGTTTAAAAGTATAACACTACATATGTAATTTTATTGTAATTATTATGCATATTATTATTAATATAATAATTTTTATAATATATTGTTATGTTATAGATTATGTTATATAATATATTCTTTGTATTATAATATTATTAATATTATAGATTATGTTATATAATATATTCTTTGTATTATATATATTATAAAATAGGATTTTTGGGTCAAAAATTATCAATGAAAAATTACATATTATATACATATTATGTGAAATATGTAATGAATTATATATTATACACACACACACATGTGTGTGTGTGTGTGTGTGTGTGTGTGTGTGTGTTGTGTGAAATATACATGTACAAATGCTATTTACGATAAAGAATAGATATGTTTATTTATATATATCTGTAACGTATTTGTATCTCTAACGTAATATATATAATATATATAATATATATATATATATATATATATATATAATATATATAATATATATATTTCATTTGTATATAAATTCACAACTTAAAAAGAATTTTTATTTGTAAGTAATTTGTTTAACACAGAATGATTTATAAGCAAATATTAACTATTATTAAAATCTAATGTGATGTATAATAATATGTAATATACGTAATGTATAATAAAAACGTGAAATAATAATATATAATGTATAATAAAAATGTAATAAAAAATGTATAATAATATGTAATGTATAATAAAAACAATGTATTGAGAATAAAAGTTAAATATTAAATATCAAGAAAAGAAAAAAATATAGATCTTTCTATTTTTCTCTCTTTTCCTAATGTTTAATATTTGATTCTTATTTCTAATATTTATTTTATATTACACCAATTGTGTCTATAAAATAACAAAAATACTGTTAGCGATAAAAGCAATATCACTGTGTGTATATATTAAATTAATTGTAAGATAGAACGACTTGATTCAAAATCAAATAATGATGATTTAAATATTTCTTTAGACAGTAGATTAAATATAACGACGTATATACATGATCTTCTAGACTATCTTTTTTACATTTTTTTGACACAAAGAATACGCACATATGAAGATTCATTAATACTTATAAAAATTTATAAAGTTTACATTTTATCGTAAATTGCATATTATATGTGTATACAGTGTATATGTATATATATTTTTTTCCTCTTCTAATAATTTATAAGAATTTTTTAGTAAACATTTTCATTTTAGATACTTATTATAAATAAATAAATAAATATATATATATATGTATATATATATATATACATATATATATATATATATATATATTTATTTATTTATAATAAGTATCTAAAATGAAAATGTTATATATATATATATATATATTAATTATTTATTTATTTATATTTATAAAGAATATATTTATAGAACATGAAAAACAAAAAATATTTCACGGAAACATTAATAAATAAATAAAAATTAAAAATTAAAAATAATAATAATACTTACAGTGTTTACTTTTATATGATGTTCCACAAAATCAATGTCATCATTCCAGGCAACAATTTGAACCCTTTTTCCTTTTCCGTTATTTAAATAAAATTTGAAGAACTTATATTGTTGTTGCGAGCCCACGCAACGTGGAGATTCGATGTTATCAACATAGCCAACAATTTCACTAATATAATTTAATTAATATAATTAATAATATAATTTAATTAATATAATTAATATAATTAATAATAAATTAGAAGGCGCGCACACTTTACACATATTCATATATATATATATATATATATATATATATATATATATATATATACAAGATGTTCGACAACAGGCGGGATAAAGTTTAAGAAATGATTCTACTTGATAAAATGAGACGAAAATCAAGAATAACAAAAATTCAATGAAAGCTTCGTTTTTTTTAATTATAAGTATTTGAAAATTTGTGTGAAAGGTGTCTGAAACATGGTAATCTACAAAATTTTTAGCGAGCATAAGCTATATCGCTCTTAAAATATTATGTAACGCAAAAGTGTACAGTGAATTGCTAAATTCTGGATACTTTTTAAACAAACTTTTAAATATTTATAATTAAAAAATGAAGTCTCTACAGAAATTTTGTTACTTTTGATTTTTGTTTTATTTTATCATGTAGAATCATTCCTTAAATTTTGTCTTACTTATTGTCAAACATCTTTTATATATTCTACAGATCAAAATAATGTAAAATTGTTTTATAAATTTATAAAAAATATTTCAGATAAAAATTAGAGTTTAAAAAAGAGATCTATTTATTGATTTTATTAGTTTAATTTTAAGTCTTCAAAATCAAGGGAAACTTATTTGAATTTTTTAAATTAAATTCCTTACTTTTATTGCATATTCTTTATACTAATAAAAGTTTTTATAAAATCAAATTTTAATAAAATCAACAGGTTTCTTCGTAATTTATAATTTACTTTGTGAGTACATGTGTTATGTGTATGTGTGTGTGTGTGTATATATATGTATAAACCGAACAGAATAAACAATTATTTTAATTAATTTTCATTATTCTTTTGTATTTTTTGCATTATTTATGTTACATTGGATATGTGTGTGTGTGTGTGTATGTATATATATATATATATATTTTTTTTTTAATTAATATTAAGATTAATTATTAAAATTTTAAAAACAATAAATAATACAAAAAATAATGCAAAAAATGCAAATAATACAAAAAATATAAAAGAATAATGAAAATTAATTAAAATAATTGTTTATTCTGTTCGGTTTATACATATATATACACACACACACATACACATAACACATGTACTCACAAAGTAAATTATAAATTACGAAGAAACCTGTTGATTTTATTAAAATTTGATTTTATAAAAACTTTTATTCTATTTTATTTATAATTGTTATTCCTTTTTTTTTTCTTCAATTTTCATAAACTTTTTACTTACACTGTTGAATCATACATTTGTATACTTTCAAGTACATCACTTGGTGTTAATAGTTTCATTGCATTTAAATTGTCAATTTCAATAAGTTTATCAATATGATTCTCAGAGTTTTGAAATATATGATTTGAGTTATGATCTTCCGAATCATCCAAATTATATTGTGACATTTTTAGATTTAATATTGTAAAGATGCAAAATTAATAATTATCCTACAAAATATACAAAGATGAGATATATATATATATATATACAGGGTGAGTCATTTTAATCAATACACTCGAATATCTCGAAAACAGCACTCTTCAGAAAGAAATGTTTCAAACAAAAATTGTAGGGTGTGAAGGGGGACATAAGATGGTAGCATTGGTTTGACCTTGGAAAGTCATTTGAAGGTCACATAAAAGTCACCTTCAATTTCTTAAATTGAACCCACTATTTTTCATTACATATTCTTGTAGCTTATCTCGAGAGCTTTCCAAAACACTACAGACAAATGTTTTTTCATTAAATACTTTTTGAGTTATAAGGCTTCAAAGTTTGCAGTACTTCGATATAAAATGCAAAATATCTCGTAAAATATTTAGTTTTCGGTAGTCTTACCCTAATACTTTTATGCACAGGATAATGAGACAAAACTATTGGTGCAAAGAAAACGTATGATTGTTTATAATAAAAAATGTGTAATTTGCAATGCACTTTTATAAACAATCATGCGTTTTCTTTGTACCAATAGTTTTGTCTCATTATCCTGTGCATAAAAGTATTAGGGTAAGACTACCGAAAACTAAATATTTTACGAGATATTTTGCATTTTATATTGAAGTACTGCAAACTTTGAAGCCTTATAACTCAAAAAGTACTTAATGAAAAAACATTTGTCTGTAGTGTTTTAGAAAGCTCTCGAGATAAGCTACAAGAATATGTAATGAAAAATAGTGGGTTCAATTTAAGAAATTGAAGGTGACTTTTATGTGACCTTCAAATGACTTTCCAAGGTCAAACCAATGCTACCATCTTATGTCCCCCTTCACACCCTACAATTTTTGTTTGAAACATTTTTTTCTGAAGAGTGCTGTTTTCGAGATATTCGAGTGTATTGATTAAAATGACTCACCCTGTATATATTTCATTAATTATTTTACATGAATCTGTTGTTTGAAATAATAATTTAAAGAAAATATTAAAATAATTATTTTTTTTTAATGAATTAAAAAAGATTTATAATTTTAATGCTTTAAAATAGTGTTTCAAAAATATTTTATAAAAATTTTTAAAAATGTTTTAAAAAATATTATTTCCTGATTACGGGATGAAAATATAAAAAATACAATTTACATATTCTATTCATTCTTCTATATCAATAATTTGTCATGTTTTAAATGTCAATGTTTTTTTTTGTAAATCATAATGTAAATTATATGCAAAATTATTATAGATTCTCTTCTTAAAATAAAATTGCAAATTATTTGAATGACACAAAAGTATTTAAAACGTACAATTAGAAAAATTAATACAAAGAACCATTGTAGCCTTTCATAATATTCAATATACAAACATAATTTTAATTGTTTATATAGAAATAGAAATGTAGACAATTTTTGATTTATTTTTTTTAACTTAAGATTAAAAATGCAAACATTTTGATTTATTTTTCTTCTCAATTCAAGACTAGAAATCTAAATATTTCGATCTATTTCTTCTTAATAAATTGAATTGTAAAAAGTGTTATGATAATACTTTTACATTTACACAATAATACAATTAATATAAATTAAGTAATATATAAGTTGTATATAAGTTTTATGATATTATTAAGCTTTCAAATAAGAATTATTTTAATTTTCTTTAAATATTATTACATTTTTTACAAATTTTAATAAATTTTTCATAAAAATCTTATACATATTATAATGTAAACAATGTTTTATTCATCGAAACTTATAGAAAAAATAATATCTGATAAAATTAAAAACTTCTGATAAAATTAAAATCAATTAGCAAATATATTGTAAAAGTATTAAATATATTGTAAAGTATTTATTCACTTGAAAATGAATCGTTTTCAAATTAAGATTAATAAATATACAAATATATAAATATAAATTTGTATATTACATATTTATATCTTTTAAAATTACAAAACTGAAATATATATATATATATATATATATATATATATATATATACTATATTTTATGGTTTTACTTATACTACGATTTTATAATTTTTAACGATAATATCACTATCATTATCATGTATTATATACATATTTTAACATCAAAATATGTATACAATAATATTAATAATAATGTTATCGTCGTTAATAAAAGTTATAAAATCGGAGCATTGTATATATTGTTAGAAAGCATTCATAATAATCTGCATAATAATAGTAATGTGAATAAGTATATGTATATGTGGTGTGTGTCTATTAATTTAATATAACAATTTATTACATTATAAACTTATAATTTATTATATTGTGGTATTATGGTAAACTTACCTCAACAAAGTTCTGTTGAAAGTGAATTTTAATCGTGTTCTTATATTCAATTGCGTAACACTTAAACGTGTTCTTAATCGCGTATTAATACTTGTGCACTTAACGCGTATCAACACTTAAATGTGTATTTAATAATTAATACACTTAATCTTACTTATTCTTTCGACGCAGTCAAACTGGAAATAGCAAGCTCTCATTAATACAACGAAATCGTTATCTTTTACCACATCGTGTAGTATATACATAGGCATAATAGACATACCATAGATCAGGGGTGTCAAAGGTACGGCCCACGGACTAGACGTTTGAATCCTTACCATAGATGCTATTTACGTTTTGGAGTGAGTTAAAAATAATTCTATGTTTGATAAAACGAGAGAACCTGCATACAATACAAATTATTACAATTACATTGTAGGAATGTCTCTGTAATGTTTCATTGCAATTTTGCAAGTTGCAATGAAACATTACAAAGACATTGCAAAGAACAAATCTACAAATTGCCAACACAGTTGCAAGATAACGTAAAAATTTGAGAAAAATTTTTAAATTAAAATTTTACAATTATATATTTTTAAAATAAAATCTATAGTTATATATAGGATATATACAAACTATAGATAATAAACTAAACTATTCAATTTTTATTTATTTTATATCCTTATAATTGTTTAAATATTACAAAATCATTTTATATAAAAAAGTAAGTTCACTTAAAAAGTTTTATTTAAAAAAAAATGAAATTTTTAATCTTTAAATCTCTAAAATATAAAACTTTTACTTAAAAGTTATAAAAGTTATAAATTTTTACTTATAAGAAATAAATATAATATATAATTAGCATCTGCTCAAAATCATTCAATTTTTTGTAATGTAATAACTATTCATATAACATATTATATAATTTTTTACAAATTAATAACTCAAGTATATAATAAACATTGAGAAACTATATAAATTAATAAATTCCTCATACTATATAGTACATTCCAATAAATAGAAGACATTAGAATAAATAGGAGATAAAAATCTAGATTTTATTCTATATCTTCTTAATAAATAAAATTGAAAAAAGTATTATAATTACTTTTAGATTTGGTATGATGCAACAAAAATATTGATTATATACGCTGTATATATAATTGTGTAATATAATAATAATAATAATAATGAAAAATTTATTAGCATGATTGAGTAAGCACAATAGACACAAAAATAAAAAAAACTATAAATACACTGTCGTATAAAATTATAATATGTAATACAGATGTACAAAACATGATATTGTGTTAGAAATTTATTATAATGAAAAAGTTGCAGAACACCAAACGAAAAATAAGTTCAATATTAAGACAGAAAAATAACGTCAAAAACTCAGCTGGTTTGTTTTTAATTTGAACCATTGAGAAGAATGTGAAGTAAATCAAAATGTATAGAGCGCTCTATTACTTCAATTTGAATAATTGAAATATATTTGTATCAGAACATGTGAATGATTTCAATTATACTTTTCTTTATTTAATATAGTATTTATGTACTTATTTTATATAATATAATTTATATATTATATAAATGTATATTTGCTTTACACACGTTATACATATTTAAATGAAGCATTTGTTGATATATAAAACCAAAATTAAATTTGTTTATTCTATAAAATTTAATATTGAATTTTATTGCAATACTTTAATTATTTCGAAATTAAGATATAATAAGTATACAAATATATAAATATAAATTTTTGTACTACAAATGTATATCTTCTAAAATTATAAAACTGAAAAAAAAAAATATATATATATATAAATTTTATTATATATATAAATTTTATTATAGGGTGAAGTAAAAAGTTCTGAGCGTTTTTTCGCTTTATTTTGACGATGAAATGAACATAGTTAGGATTATCCGATTTAGATCAAATATGCGCCGTTTTGTTCGATAACTTTTGTCCATTTTGAAGGCAATTTCATAATTCCGCGATTAAAGAAGTCCTCGTCCCTATTCGTAAAAAACTTGACCAGCTCATTTTCACAAGCCTCTCTTGAGGCCAGTTTTGTACCATCAAGAAAATTTTGCAAATGCTTGAAAAGGTGATAATCGCTTGGTGCCAAGTCTGGACTACACGGCGGGTGCAATAGAACCTCCCATCCAAGCTCTCGGAGCTTCTGGCGCGTCGTTAATGATGTGTGTGGCCTGGCGTTGTCTTGATGGAACACAACACTCTTCCTATTGGCCAATTCTGGCCGCTTCTGGTCGATCGCCTGCTTCAATCTGGTCATTTGTTCACAATAGAGGTCCGAATTGAGTGTTTGGCCCGATGGGAGCAGCTCATAGTGGATGATTCCTTTCCAATCCCACCAAACACACAGCAAAATCTTCTTGGCCGTTAATCCGGGCTTGGCGATCGTTTGGGCCGGCTCACCGCGATTAGACCATGATCTTTTTCGGCTGTTGTTCTCGTATGTGACCCATTTTTCATCACCAGTTACCATCCGCTCCAAAAATGGGTCGATTTCGTTACGTTTCAGCAAAGAATCGCAGGCATCAATTCGGTCCAAAAGGTTCTTTTGCGTCAATTCGTGTGGCACCCATACATCGAGCTTCTTCTTGAGACCAGCCTTATGCAAATGGTTCCAAACGGTTTTTTGGCTAATCTTCAGTTCCTGGGCAATGGAATAAGTGCTCACATGCCGGTCCGACTCGACGATTTCCATGATTTGATTTTATCGACATTTTCGACGATTGGCCTACCAGAGCGTGCCTCATCTTCGACGTCCATATTACCAGAACGGAATCGTTGGAACCACCGCTTTGCTGTTGCATTTGATACTGTATTGGGTCCATAAACAGCTCAAATTTTTTTGGCCGCCTGCTCCGCCTTTTCACCTTGGTCGTAGTGGTACTGAAGAATGTATCGAATTTTCTCTTTTTTTACCTCCATTTTGGAACGCTGTAACACACAACTGGCTTGACCAAACACAAAACTGTCACAGAACCTTTTTGAAGCGTAATGTCACCTTTCAATCGCCGTATCGTATGACCCGATGCGATGTATACATCGTGAGATATGGTTCATTAAAGACATCTAGCGGAAAACGCTCAGAACTTTTTACTTCACCTAATATAAAATTTGTACATATATTAAATAAATTATAACAAATTGTAATATTACAAAAACCTTTGAATAAGAAATATTAACAAATATTTTACCTTATATAAAAATTAATAGTTTTTATCAAAAATTTTTTTAAAATTGATAATTTATTAATTATTTATTATTAAACATCGATTAAATTATGTAAATTGAAATTTGCACTTAATCTTTTAATGATATAATAAATCAAATATAAAAATTAACAAACAGCTATTTAAATTGTAATCATATTTGATAATAAATTAATTAATAAGTTTATAATTTATAAAAAATTTTTATTAAAATATATTAATTTTTATATACGAGAAAATATTTGTTGATGTTTCTTTTTATTCAAATGAAGATCTTTATAATATTACATTTTATTATCTTTTATTTGATATATATACAAATTTTATATAAAAAAATTTATATATATTTTTTTTTCAGTTTTGTAATTTTAAAAGATATGAATATGTAATACATAAATTAATATTTATATATTTGTATATTTATTGATTTTAATTTGGAAACAATTTAGTTTCAAGTGAATAAATTCTTTTACAATATATGCTAATTGATTTTATCAGGATTCTTTAAATTTATTAGATTATATTATTTTTTTATATGTTTTCATGATAAATAAAGCATTGTTTATTTCATAATATGTATACTATTTTTATAAATAATTTATTAAAATTTTTAAATATGTAATAATATTTATTTAAAGAAAATTAAAATAATTCTTATTTTAAAGCTTAATAATATTATAAAACTTATATATTGTATTACTTAATTTATATTAATTATTATTATTGAGAAAGGAGTCATAAACTAAAATATTGCAATAAAATTCAATATTAAATTCTATAGAATCAATTTAATTTTGATTTGATATAATAACAAATGTTTCATTTAAATATGTATAACGTGTGTGAAGTAAATATGCAATTATATAATATGTAAATTATATTATACAAAATAAGTATATAAATACTATATTAAATAATGAAAAGTATAATTGAAATCTTTCACAGGTTCTGATACAAATATATTTCAACTATTCAAATAGAAGTAATAGAGCTCTATACATTTCGATTTATTTCACATTCTTTTCAATAGTTCAAATTAAAAACAAAGTAGCTAAGTTTTTGATGTTATTTTTATATTTTAATATTGAATTTATTTTTCGTTTGATGTTCTACAACTTTTTTATTATAATAAATTTACAATATCATGTTTTGTTTTATACATCTATGTTATATATTATAATTTTATGCGATAGTATATTTATAATTTATTTATTTTTATGTCTATTGTGCTTACTTAATCATACTTATAATAATTTTATTATTATTATTATTATATACACAGTTATATATACAGCGTAATCAACATTTTTGTTGCATCGTACCAAATGTAAAAGTATTATAATACTTTTTTTTACAATTTAATTTATTAAGAAGAAATGTCTAGATTTCTATTTTCATTTATTGTAATGTACTATATAGCATGAGATATTTATTAATTTATATACTTGAGTTATCAATTTGTAAAAAATTATATGCTATATGAAAAGTTATCATATATAAAAAAATTGAATGATTTTAAGCAAATGCTAATTATGTATTATATTTATTTTTTATAAATGAAAATTTATAACTTTTACAAGTAAAAGTTTTATATTTTATAGATTTGAAGATTAAAAATTTCATTTTTTTTTAAATCAAACTCTTAAAGTGAATCTTACTTTTTTATATAATTTGATTTTGTAATATTTAAGCAATTATAAGGATAAAATAAGTAAAAATTGAATAATTTACTTTATTACCTATAGTTTGTATATTTTATTTTAAAAAAATATAATTGCAGAATTTTGATTTAAAAATTTTTTTGAAATGTTTATGTTATCTTGCAACTGTGTTGACATTTTGTGGATTTTTCTGTGCAATTACATTGTAGCAATGTCTTTGTAATGTTTTATTGTAATTTGCAATATTGCAATGAAACATTACAGAGATATTGCTACAATGTAATTACAATGATTTATATTGTATAGAGGTTTTCTCGTTTTTAAGATCAAAGCTATAATAATATTTTTAACTTACCCCAAAACGTAAGTCTAGCTACATCTATGGTATTCTGTTCCGCCTACCATGCGATATGGTAGGACATAACGATATAATTTATATTGATGAGAACTTGCCATTTTCCAATTTAAATTATATATATATATATATATATATATATATATATATGTATATATATTATATATATATGCAGTATCAATTGTAATAAATAAATAGCGCGCGCGTAGCGCGCGCCTGTATTGTTCTAGTAATGATAAAAAGAAAATAAAAAATATAAAAATATGAAATAAGAAATAATACAAAATATATG